GCCTTCTTCCAGCATTTCTTCTTCCCAAGTAACATTTAAGGTATGCTTCCTATGATTCAGAAGATAATCCATAGTCATCTAGAGCAGTGTTTCTCAACCTTGACAATTTTAAGGCATGTGGACTTCAACTCCCAGAATTCCACAGCCAGCATTGCTGGCTGTGGAATTCTGGGAGTTGAAGTCCACATGCCTTAAAATTGTCAAGGTTGAGAAACACTGATCTAGAGTACAGGTAGTCCTCGACTTCACACCACAATTGAGCCCAGAATTTATGTTGCTAAGTGGGAAATTTGTTAAGTGAGTTTTGTCCCATTTTACGACTTTTCTTGCCACATTTTGTTAAACGAATCCCGGCACTTGTTCAATTAGTAACACGGTTGTTAAGTGAATCTGGCTTCCTCATTGACTTTGCTTGTCAGAAGGCGCAAAAGATGGTCACATGAGCCCGGGACACTGCAGCCGTCATAAATATGAACCAGTTGCCAAACATCTGAATGTAATGGGGTCATGTGTGAAAAATGGTTGTAAGCCACTTTTTTCAGTGCCGTTATAAGTTTGAACGATCGCTAAACAAACACTTGTTAAGTCGAGGACTATCTGAATTTCTTAGTTCTCTTTTTAAATTATCTGCAATTGCAGCCATCACTACATCTGATGACACTGAACTATGTAAATAAATAAATACACAAATAAATACTTTTTTTATTGGACCTGAATTTTCCTGTACTGTATCCGTATTGCTATCCACATTTTAAAGTGACCAGAATGGGACATTCCTTCAAATGCAGCAATACAAGGACATTATCATACTTCAGTTTTATTTTCAGTACCTTTGCTAGAGATGTTAGCCTAGGAATTCACCTTATTTACAGCAGCTGTATACTGGGTTGGACTTTGCACTGTGTTATAGAACATGATTCCAAGAACCTTTTTGTGTATCTTTGCTAATTTAGACTTGTGGGTTTTTCTTTCAGTATGCAACCCCTTGCACTAACTTACACTGAACTGTACTGGCCATTTTAAAGCTCATTAAACCAATGTGAAGATACCCTTTTGAAGCTCTTTGTAATCTTTCTTTTTTCACTTTTTCATCCTGAATTACTTGTGATATCAACAAAATTGCCTTCTCTCTGCTCACTCCTAACTCCAAATACTGTAAATACTAAAAAAGATTCCCAATGCTGAACTTTGCGGAAGTTCACCTTATATATATCTTTCCATTTTGAAAATTATTTCTGTTTACTGTTTGTTAGCCAGATGAAAAGACCTGTGCTCTTATCCAACAGGTTATTTTGATTGGAGCCTTTGGTGAAAAACTTAAAAGGTTTTTTTTAAACTCCAATTATATAATATCTTATCAGTTTTCTCCTACCTATTTACTTACTGATATGCTGAAAGAAGTCTAGCAGAACAGTGTAATAAGAGTTAGCTTTTCAAAAGCTGTGCTGATTTTCTTCAGCAAGTCTTGTTCTTCTGGATCTCTGATACCTATCTGTTAATAATGTTTTTTATCAGGAAAAAAATGTAAACTGATCTCTAGTTACATGTACCTCCTTTGATCCATTTTTAATACTGAGAGTACACTTGTCTTTTTTTGTATTGAATTTCCCAATACCCATTTTGCTGATACTGTGTTGAGGAAGCAATTGCACTTTTTTGTAATTTCTTTGTTCTTCTTTCTATTCAAATACACAGTCTTCAGATAACATGGTTTAATTTGAATAGTGACATTCTTATTTTCAGAGCCAGTGATAGCTATGATATAGAGGTCACAACTAATTGGAAAAGCTCTGAGACACACTTGTGACCTGCAAGTTTTTTTTTATAAAAAGTTTTTTTATTTATAATACAGTTAAAACAAAGATGGACATAACACAACATTCCAGTATAAATATTTCTAACAATTTGTTCCTCTTCATACATATAATTCTTGATCTCTCTATATACGTACATATATATTTTTCTATCAATACAATATCTAATTTGTGTCTCTATATACTAACATACAATTATGTATGTTTCTATCTTAACACTAGCTTATAACCCGAACAGTCCTCCTTGATTCACACCAATAATAAAATTTGTTCCAGATTTCAAAATAATCTGACTCTGTCTTGTCCTTCATTTCCATTGTGAGCCTATCCATATCCGCACATGATAGAATTTGGCCTGCAAGCTTTTCAATGAACAAGACAGCCCTCCCTTCAGCTCAGTAGCCATAGTCTTTTTGGTTATTATGTGGGAGAAGGCTGGATTGTGAAGTAGATGATTTATCCTGTTATGCAGTAACAATCCATTATTTTGGTTTCACAGTCCTGTCATTGCTTGTCAATTCAAGTTCATCTTCAAAGGACCTTTCTGAATGACTTACTCAAAGAGATGCACTTACTCAAGGTGTTAAAGAGAGAGCCATTTTGGTTGTGGCACTCTTATTGTGGAATGTCATCTCTAGAAAATATCTCTGAAGCTGAATTGTAGCCTTTGAAACATTATGTGAATATGCTTTCCTAGGACTTCACATTTTCAAAAATCAGAGCATATTTTGTGGCTCTATGATAATTTTTAAAATATATGACAGTTAACTTGCAATATACCTTCTTCCTTATAGAACTGGAAGTAAAAATGTTCTGGAGACCAAGAGTCCTAAAGGAGAAAAGTTTATTTCTTAGAAATCTAATAAATTACTTAGTTTTTGCACATAGGGTCTCTAAGATTCTATATTGCTTTGGTAAGGATGTATTTCATTCTTTTCTGGAAATTCTCCAGATCTGAATTGTGTTGCTCAAATGACTCTCCCTTTCTTACCATGCTTCCTGAAGTTGCCTCTTACTCTGTTCTCCCTCTCTGGAGTGTTTTTTAAGGGTCTTAGTTGCAGCTGCACACATAAATTTAATGCTCAGCCTCCATTTTTATCTTTGTAATATGTTCCTCCCAATGGCTCTCAGTTGGCAAGCTCCTGTTGCTTCACTCTTAGAGCAGATAAGTTGCTTTGTAAATAGAATAGGCAATGGCTACATTCCTGTTCTCTAATTTAAGAAAAAAATACATTGTGTTGTGAATAGGAGTTACTCCAGGGAATGAAGAATAATCAGGTGCTGTTATCTTGTGCTTGGGTTTCCCAAGGAAATTCTCTGTTTTCAAAAGAATCCTCTACAGGAATAATTACACTGCTTTCTTTTCTTTTTGTTAGTTGAGAAGGCAGCCAATTACCATATGAAAAAGGTATCTTCTATGTATCTGGAAGTGCTTTCATACACTATTGAAAGTTGATAAAAATAATTTTAATTATTAAGCCTAATACATGGTAACATACCTATTAAAATGATAGTGCTGTTTTGGGTGTTTATTAATTATTGGATTTTTTGCTACTGGATTTATTTGTTACTGCTTTTGTTTATATTTTCATTCATGTATTCACTGATATTCTGACTTTTCTCTGACAGCTTAAGTGGCTTATATAAGTGGTTTTTCCAATTTTATTTCAATACAAACCTGAGAAGTAATCAGGCTGAGAAAGTGACTGGTTCAAAAATTAGAAGGGAACTCTGTGGTCCAAGTTGTACATTGCAACCACTATACTCTTTTTATATTTTATTATTAAAGAAAAGAATTATTTTCTTTTATTGGCAATCGCCAAGAGTATTTTGGCTGATTCCAAATGCATTCAATAAATAATTGCTATTTTGCATCTTACAGTATAGCGGAATCCTACCTAGTGTTTCTATGCCATTCTTTTAAGCTTCCTGCTTTCTGTCACAAGCACAGTCTTTAAAGCCATTTGTCCCCAATGGCCCTAAGAACAATGGCTGTCAGGTTGATGTTTTCAAATCTTACAGGCAGTTCCCTGTAACTATTATTACTATTATTAAATTTGTTTGCCATCCATCTCACAGTCTGAAGCAACTGAGTGGCTTCTGTAGCCCTATACTTGCACCTTTACATATCATTTTATCATTCAGATTAAAAGCTGGGCCTTAGTAAAGGGAAAGAAGAAAAGAACACAGCATTTGAGGAAAAACTAAACTGCAAATGAACAGTTGAGCAAGAAGCAAAGGTTCATATAAGAGAGTAAGCAGGAAATAGCAAACATTTCTTGTTCCTATATGACTCAGTGTTTCTCAACCTTGACAATTTTAAGGCATGTGGACTTCAACTCCCAGAATTCCACAGCCAGCAATGCTGGCTGTGGAATTCTGGGAGTTGAAGTCCACATGCCTTAAAATTGTCAAGGTTGAGAAACACTGCTATATGTGGATGACTTGTGAAGAGATACTCTGTGCCTGCAACCCAATTTTCCTACCCCCCCCCCCGAGACTGTAGTCCCCTTACCCAAACCAAATTATTTAACACCACCACTCTATAACTCTAAAACTCATCCTGAGCAGGAACTGAATCTTCTGACTCTGCTCCTTTGCAGGTAGGGGGCAAGATGGATGAGAACCGCTTTGTTGCAATCACCAGCTCTAATGCTGCCAAGATCTACAACCTGTATCCTCGCAAGGGCCGCATCATTCCTGGAGCCGATGCAGATGTAGTTGTGTGGGATCCTGAGGCCACGAAGTAAGCATTGGGGAAGATGGGATTGGGAGGAGAGGAATAGCCATAGTCCTAACAACAAATTTCTGTGCAAATTTCAGATGTGGAACATCCCAACATTAGTCATTAGAGAAGCCACTAGGTTCTTTTCTGATGCCAAGGCTTACACACAAAAATCATTTTCAGGGAGGATTGGCAGCAGTAGGAAGACTCAGGGCACTCTCTTGCCAATGGATAGCACCAGCAGGTTTAGGGCTGCCGGATCTGATCTTCAAGAATCTGGATGAGTGTCAGATGGGAATAAAGAGAGGTTTGGTGGTTATTTGCTGTTATCTAGAGGTCCCTCTAATTCAGTGTTTCTCAATGTTGACTGTTTTCAGATGTGTGGAAGATGGCTAGGGAATTCAGTTGTCTGCCATACCTACCCTGCTTCTTCCTATCTCACCAGCCCTATCCACTGTGCAGGATAAAATGTTTAGATTGCTGTACGAGGAGATGTTGTCTTGGAGCAGGCCACAGTCAGGTCTCATTTTTTTAAACACTGAAGATCCAGGTGGGGCCCTTTGTGCCAGGGACCCCAAGGTCACTGCAATTCCTGCTTTAACTATTTATACCACTGGAAATGATCAAGGGGATGAATTATAGGTAGCTGGGAACTTGTGCTACTCCTTCTAACTGCCATGTAAGCTGTTGGAAGAGAAGACATTAACTACAGTATTGAAATATTGATTGAATGATCAATGTCCGTAATTTCATTAAGCAATGTATATCCCATTTTCATTCAGGAATTCAATGTGGCATATGTAATGCCCCATCCCCTGATTTCCCCCCACAACAACAGTCTTGTGAGATAAGTTTAGGTGAAAAAAAGTGAGGTCTAAAGTCATCCAATGAGTTTCTGTAACTGAGAATGGACTAAAACCTGGATCTAACCACTGCCAATCCACACTTTAATTACCACATCACATTGTCATGTGAGCACAGGATCTTGGTACCGTATGCTAGATAATAAAACCATATAGCCACAAAAAATGTTGCTACCTGATCCCCTCAAAGGTAGAGCCTATGGGCAGAAAATGTGCTCCCAAGGCAACCTTATGGCTTAGCATTATAATGCCATGAATATTTGAATTAGTGTTTCTATGAGGAATGCAAAAAACAATCATATGTCAATCTAATTACTAGACAAAAAAGGACTCACTAATCAATAGAATGGGACTATGTACTATGTGGCATAAATTTAAAATTATTTTACTGAAAACATTTGTATAGCATGTCTTATTCTTAAAAAATCCCTAAGTACTTTAATCTATTCAATGTTTCCAGGACCTAGCTGCAGATGGAACGGAATTTTAATCCATATTCCAGTAACAGTCAAAATAAAACCAGAAGCCTGTGGTTCTTCCACATGAATTAGTCCAGTGTCAAGAATGATGTTTCAATAGGTTAGACCAGACTGCTTATTTGCAAAAAGCAGAAAACTGTCAGGCTGGATTAATGATGATGCTAGATTATGAAGCCATTCAATGAAGTTCCTTCTTTGAGGTACTCTATTTGACAGAGTTGCTGACTATTTTTTTCCAGGAAGATACTGCATTTATTTGTTTGTTTGTTTGTTTATCTATCTACCTACCCACCCACCTATCTACCTTTCTCTTCTTAAATTAAGATGTATACAATGGCTTTCATGAGAATTACATGTAACACCAATAAATATTATTAAAGAAAGATAGTAAAAACCAAATAAGCCAAATAAGAGTAAATAATAGACTTATTACTTGTTTACTTAGACTTAAGTCCTCTTATATCTGATGAAGTTTTATTCCAAATTTGCAGCAGTCGGTATAATCTAAACCAGAGGTCCCCAACCCTGGTCACTTTATGACTTGTGGACTTCAATTCCCAGAATTCCTCAGCCAGCATGGCTGGCTGAGGAATTCTGCGAGTTGAAGTCCACAAGTCGTAAAATGATCAAGGTTGAAGACCCCTGATCTAAACATAAGGTCTGTGAATAAAAAAAGAAATATTCAGTCCAATCTTACTGTAAGTACAACTCTATAAAGAAAATACAGTTAATTAAAGGAAACTAATAATATCTAGATGCTGTTATATAAAAATCATAATAAGAATATCCTGACCTAATGTCTTTTAAGTCATGTTAAAAAGCTAACTAAGCCAACTAAGCTTTCAACTGAACTGATTAAAAACATGTTGTATAGGCATAGCCACTTCCTGATTTATAAGTTCTCAGGACAAATGGTGTTAAAGTTTGACCCCTTGAAAATCCCCAGATGTTCATGTCAATAGAAAGGAAGAACTGACTTGGTTCCCTGAACTTTCTGAAACCAGCAAGCTTACATTAAGACATTAAGAATCTTCTCAGATGTTCCTCCTGATATTGAAGATGATGGGAGCAGTGTTACATCTTTTAACAACTCAGATTATGAGAGTTTTGGAAAATTAGAAAGGAAAAAGAAGTTTCCAGAAAATTACTGGGATAAGTAATTTGCCCTTTATTTGAATTTCCTTCGCCTCATTTTGACTTTGCACACTGATTTTATACTTGTTAAGCATTGGAGTGGTTCTACCCTCATGCTTTGAAATCAAGTAAAGCTGATGGACAATGATCCCATTCCTTTGAGTTAGGACAGTGGTGGCAAACCTCTCTGTGGGCACGCGCGCCGTTGCCCCAGTCCTAGGCCTTCAGCTGGGTTTTATAAAATCTTTTCACTTTAGGCCTCCACTGCCATGTGCAAAAAAAAAAAAAAGGTTCAATCAATCAGTCAATTTCAACTTCTCGCGGCAAAAAAAAGATCTTGCAAAGTTGGAATTGATTGATTGAACTTTTTAGTCCCACCCAGTCTGCCATTACCACTGCAGCCACGCCCAGCCAATGGGTCACACCCACTTGGCACCCGACCATACATAAGTGGGTTTTGGGTTGCAGTTTGGGCACTCAGTCTCTAAAAGGTTCGCCATCACTGAGTTAGGAGATCCTAGAAATGGAAACAACTAGATGCTGTCAGTGCTAAGATAGTATAGCCAGTTCCCTGCAGATCTCAGTGCTCTTTGCTCTTTCCTAGGACCATCTCAGCCAGTACCCAGGTCCAGGGTGGTGATGTGAACCTGTATGAGAACATGCGCTGCCACGGGGTACCACTGGTTACTATAAGCCACGGGCGTGTTGTCTATGAGAATGGAGCCTTTATGTGTGCTGAAGGCACTGGGAAGTTCTGCCCTCTCCGCTCCTTTCCAGACTCGGTGTACAAGAAACTGGTGCAGCGAGAAAAGGTACCAAAAGGGACAAGCGAAAAGGCGGGCAGGAGACACGTGACTAAGTGGGGTTGGGAGGGATTTCCCTGCACTGCTTATCCCTTTTCCATAAGTTCACACTGTCTGGTAGCAAATCAGTCCTCAGCATGACAAAAGAGCTACAGTATGAAAGGTTGGTGCAGAAGAGTGCCCAGTGAATAAAAATATCATTGCAAAAATGATCTGAGGACAGTAATCCCCTTAGCATAGTGAACGGTGGCAATAATGCCTTGCTGTTTAGAAAATGAGGTAAGAGTTGCAAAACAAGGCCATGTATGTGCAGTAAAGGCATAGCGATGGAGCAATATAACTGCTAATAAAATGTATTTTTGTTACACTAAAAGGATCAGTGGCCAAAGACCAATGAAAGAACATACAATATATGGCCAACATCCAGTTTCCCACAGCAGCCAACTAGATAACTTCAAGACAGCCGCAATAGGACATGACTGCAGTTACATCTATTGGATCATGTTCCCTAACAAATGTTGCATGTTACCCTTAACACTGGCAATAATCCGTAACACATAAAATGATTAGGTGGCTAAATCATCTGTGAATTACTCGACAGAACCCAAAGTACTTCCTGATGCTAAGGAAAGTAGAAATGGTTTGGGGGAAGCGGAGATGGTTGAGCAGAGCAAGTTCTCCACAATGAGGGGGGTTCTGTTTAGAGAAATACTATGGATATTGGTTTCTGGAACATAATTGTTTTCAGAAAAATATGGGCGGAAGCAACCATTTGGAGCGACAGGTTTGTGTGCATCACATTGAAGTTTCTGATTTTCTGAACAGCTGCAGAAAGTGATCTCAAGGGATTTTAAAAAGCAAAGTTACAGACTTCTTCCTATAAAAAAGAAAATTGGCCATGCCCAGACTTCACATATTTAATGAGACTTGACAGAAATAGAGGGAAAAAGAAAAGAGAAGTTCACTAGGTGCTTGCTAAGCAGAAGGAAGAGTCTAGAGGAGGAAGAGATTATCATGGGAGGAATGATTTACATCTTCAGATCAGAAGGTAGATGGGCATGATTGGTGCGATGCAGTATCAGTATTTATTCAAATAAGATGCAAGCTTCTAAGCAAGATTAGATTTTCTGAAACCTCTCTGATTGCCCAGGTGAGAGGGGAAGGTTCAGTGCCTTGTGGTTCTACTCCTTCAGACACATAGCTAAAAGCCACTGCCTTTCCAGCATTTGGGCACTCTGAAATGCAATGAAGAGATCCAAAGGATAAGGCTGTGCAACCCAGAACAAACTTAGTATGATCACAGGGAGGGAGAACAGAGAAAACTCTCAGCCTTCTTCTTCCGGGTCACCCCTTTTTCTTTTTCCATCACATAAAATTACCTTTAATTTTATAAGGAAAAAATATCAAGTGTTGCATATGGGAAGGAGAAAAACAGGGAGAAAGAGAAATACAGATATGGAAACAGAGAGTGGATCAGCTAGGGGACAATTTCAAGGGAAGAGGAAGTGAAGAGGGATATATTGGGAATAACCGATTCATGTTTATTTTGGAGAATAATTATTGTAAATTGATTGTTATCACCAGAGGGATGGACTTTAATTAATTCTGTATTCTGTAAGCTGCCTGAAGTAACTGTGAATTGGGCAGTCATATAAATTTTCTTCATAAATAACAATAAAATAAAACCCAGATAAAAGTGAGGGAATCTTAGAGAAAAAACATTTACAGAGGAAGCTAGCATAGATCCTGCCATCGTGGTGGTGCTTGTTTAAGGCAACTCAGCAGACTTTCCTCTCCAAGTGAAACCCATCCCAAACTATCAGGCATGTGCAAGATCCAGATGACTAAATCAGATTCTGGCCAGAGGCAGCTGGCTTCTCCTCATCCAGCCAAAGAGGGCCTGGCTGGGCCATTTGTTCACACTTGTCTTAACCCCATCATCCACTCCAAAAGATTAATCTGGATTTCTCACACTAGGGTCTAACTCCTTAAGGCCTGCCTCTCCAAAGATTATGAGTTTCCACAGATAGTATTTTGGGGAGGGCCAAAGCTGACTTTTATTTTGTGTATTTTTTTTTTAATTAGAGCTTAAAGCTTAAAGGCGTGGACCGCACCCCATATCTGGGGGACGTAGCCATGGTTGTGCACGCTGGGAAAAAAGAGACGGGGACACCACTTGCAGACACCCCCACTCGGCCGGTCACAAGACATGGGGGCATGAGGGACCTCCACGAGTCCGGCTTCAGCCTTTCCGGTAAGGAGGGGGCTGGAGCAAGTCTTTTATGGGGTAGACAGCAAAATGGCAGACCATGCCCACCCTTCATGCTCCTCTGGCTCAGGTTGCCAGCATTTACTCTCTTCCTCCTCTATATCTTTGCCTCATGTATTCTTTGCTTCCTCCTTGCTCCCCATCTTCACAGGGCTACTTTCCAAGTCCTTCCTTAGAAGAATTGCCTGATTTTATACAGCCTACCTATGGGACCAGACTTCTGTGTTAGGACTGGGTTCTGGTCCTGAGCATCCCCCCCCCCTTCATCCTTCCATGCCTTTACTTCTAAACAGCTAATTCCCATTCTGATTTACTTTGATTCTTGCACTGCCTGTTCCTAGTCCTGTCTTGGCTTTTTTAGAGAATGTGTGATGCTTTTCATGGGGGGTGGGGAAAGGACTTCTATATTGGATAAAGGAGATAAGAAGGAAGATTGGAAGAGCAGGCAGAAGTTGATATGTGTCAAAGAGGAAAGTAAAATTATTTGACTACAACTATCTGGAATGAGATTGAATCAAGAGCTTGAGAAAGAATAGCCTATTGGAGTATTTTGACTGCATTAAAGTAGCAAGTTGGTTTTGTATGTTTCTTTGCATAAAGCATTTCTTAGTAACCTTCCAAGGCCAGAGTCTTTCCAAGATAACTTGCAATATAAAAACAGAGGCTATGTTCACACAATCCACTAGCAGCAGCTAAAATGAGATTGAAGAGTTTGTGATTCCACAAGTCAACAAATCCAACTACTTTCTTAACAGGTTGTGTGAATCAGCTGTAAATGTATTTTGTTTCAATATAGCACTTATATGAAGATATCAATTTTGCTAATTTAGGATTGATATATTATGTGAACCCAGCCAAAAATTTCAGCAAAACATAGACCAATACTATAAGGAGTCATGGTGGCACAGTGGTTAGAATGCAGTATTGCAGGCTAACTCTGCCTACTGCCAGGAGTTTGATCCTGAACAGCTCAAGGTTGACTCAGCTTTCCATCCTTCCGAGGTCAGTAAAATGAGGACCCAGATTATTGCAGGCAATATGCTGAAATTTGTAAACTGCTCAGAGAGTGCTGTAAAGCACTATGGAGCAATATATATGTCTAAGTGCTACTGGCTGTAGCTCCTCTATAAATGATGGTTGTCTGAGAACCAACTTCAGCTCTCCCCTTCTGGTATGCACAGAACAACCAAAGTGGAACTGACATTTCTGTTGGATCATCTGCACATACCAGATCCAGAGGAAAAACATAGCTGAAGTGAAATCAGCACAATCACCAACTGTGGACACTGAAGGGCAGAATAGCATCAGCTTTAGGAAAAGCCCTTTCTTTCAATCCTCCTTGGAAGCCAGATGGTTTAGTCTGGCAAGTCTGGATTTATAATCCGTAATGGAAAGCAAAGATGTAGTTTGTGCTCATTATAAAGGGATCTTCCCAAACATTAAGGCTGCTGTCTTATTTTAGCTTTGAAAGCAGATACTAATTACACCAATGGAAGAAACTGCTTTTGTATCACCTCAATTCAAGCTCAGCTCTTTGCTGATTTCATGGACACATCTATGTACTTTCTTTGCTAACAGTGTAAACGATGTTACTTTTTTCCAAGATGTTTTCAATTTTTGAAAACCTTGGGATTTTTGATGGAGTCCTATCCAAGCTTCAATAGATCTGACCTTGTTTGATTTTTTCATAACAATCAACATTGTTTAGGTGTTGCTGTCTCACTTCTTGTTATATTCCAACAAAAATCTCTCTAAAGCTGCTATTTTTATTACATAAAATTAAATTGAAATGGAAATTGCTTCCAAGATGTAGTCCCTAGGTAGGCCAGAAAAGAGAAACAAATTTGTCTTTCTCTATCACCTAGACCAGGGGTAGGCAACCTTGGCTCTTTTATGACTCGTGGACTTCAACTCCCAGAATGGCTCAGGAATTCTGGGAATTGAAGTCCACGAGTCATAAAAGAGCCAAGGTTGCCTACCCCTGGTCTAGACTATGGCCACTGTTCAGGCTTCCTTCTGGATCTTTATGCAAAATAAAATGTTCAAATTAATTATTTGCAATATGTCTCTTATGGTGCCTATTACATTTCAGCACATATCTTGTCTTCTAAATTATACATTTATTTATTTGTCAAATTTATATGGCTGTCCATCTCAGGTAAAATGACTCTGGGTGGTGTACAGTAAAACCAACAATCAAAAACGTTCTGCAAACCAGTTAAAACAATTATGAATAATTAAAGCAATCAAAACAATAAACATAATAAAACAAGACCATAGGCAGAAAAATGTAAACAATAAAATGTAGACAACATGCAGGATCACTATACTAGGGGTCCACAGGCTTGCTAGAAAAAAAAAACATTTTGAGGGCTTTCTGGAAGGCCAGAAGGGTTGGGCTGATCTAACCTCAGGAGAGATGATGTTCCAGAAGGCAGGTTCTACAACAGAAAAGGCTCTAGGACCCATCTGATGGAGTTCTTCCGCAGATGGGGCCCAGCAGCGCTCCTGCTGTATCTGATAGGATGGGTGGATGGGATGGGCAGGTGCAGCAGGAGGGAGCAGGTGGCTGACCGTGCAGTTTAAAGGTCCCCTTCCTCAGACCCAACAGATTTTTATTCCCAGAATAAGGAAAGACTGTGCCCCAGACATCTCCATCAGATCTGCACCAAGGCTGGTATCTAACGGGGAACGAATCTGAGCCATTTTGTCTGATAGAAGCTCTGAAAATTCCTTCACCCAACCTTGCAGATTAATCTCTGGGTTCTCCTTTTCCAGAAGGGTTCAAGTCACCCAAAACAAAGCTTCTAGATCAGGGGTCCCAAACCCCCAGGCCAGGGGTAGGCAACCTCGGCTCTTTTATGACTTATGGACTTCAACTCCCAGAATTCCTGAGTCAGCATAGCTGACTCAGGAATTCTGGGAGTTGAAGTCCATGAGTCATAAAAGAGTCGAGGTTGTCTACCCCTGCCCCAGGCCATGGCCCACTACTGGAGCTGTTGGAACTGGGCCACAGAAATGGCGCGCAAGCACGCACATGTGCATCCTCACTTGCATGAGCAGCAACCAAGCACATGCACACGGGCTCCATTTGCTCTCCCCCCCCCCCCGGCTGGGCCACAAAGCCAGAAAGGTTGCGGAACTCTGCTCTAGATAGCAATCAGCAAACACAATAAGAGCTGAAAAATATTGTTATTTCACTGCCTCTACCACTTTAATAGAGGCTTTTATCCCTGTTTGATTGAATTAATCCTTCAATGCCCTGCAGTGGTTCTTTAATTGTGTCTTTTCCCATTTCATTTCCCTCAGCTCCCTCATAAACCGCAGAGAGCAACGGGATCCATGGGAAGGAGAGGTCACATGGGTACAATCCAATCCAGGCCAAAATGGCCTTCTCATTCCAAGCAGCACTAAAAGGTCTCAGTTGGATAATGAAGCAGACTGTTAGGACAATCCCTAGCTCACTCTGGAACCTTTCTGGGTCTATCAGTCACTAAGGAGGAACTGCTCTAATGGCTCCTCTCCACAGTAGGAGGGCAGTGCCAGAAAAACCTCAGGGTTACCAGGGCAAGATCTGACCATGACAAGAGAATCACAGAGAGCTCCTCCAATTCCAGATCACTTCATATATATTACTTATAATAGCCTTTTTATGAAACTGAGGGTGGGTGGGAAATCTATGGGTTCCACTCTACAAAGTTGGGTGCTGGAAATTCCACAATCAAGAATTATGGACTTTCACAAAACTTTATTAATGATAAAATTAAGGAACTCTTGAAATCTCTCTTCATGAATCACAGGAGGGAGTACCTGCTCTGTAAAGCTAATCTGAAAGACTGCCAATCCATCTCTATCCTTTCATTCACACATGTCCTATTTTGCTTTCTAATGAAGATGGCTTCAAATAAATTATTTTATAAAAATTAAATTATAAATGCAGGTGATTTTTCTCCTGGTCCTTGTAATGACCCCTGTAGGGACAGGGTAGATGGGATGTGGTTTCGCCTTAGCCAATTTGATTTTGACTCTGCACCTTCTCTGTCTCCTTTTTTTTGCTACAGGTTCTCAAATCGATGACCATGTTCCAAAGCGAGCTTCGGCCCGGATTCTCGCTCCCCCCGGAGGCAGGTCTAGTGGCATTTGGTAGCTACCCTCCAGACTTGTCCCCCAACTAAGGACACCATCTCCACCCCCACTTGCCTGGCTGCCACCAACACCCTGCGAGCTCAAGGCAGCCACACTTTTTTCACCGGAGCCACTGACACGGGCAAGCGCTCTGCTGCCTGCACCCAATGCCGTGCCCTGCGGAGCCAACTGCTCCCCTCTGTGGGAATGAGACGACAGGGCCCTATCCCTCTCCTCACCCCACAGCTGTACTAAGTGCCAGGTGATGCACTGAGGGAAGACCTGCCTTTGTTCCTAGAGAAGGTGGGAGCTCCCTCAAGTACTGTGGGGGAAGAGGGGGCGGCCCTGGGGAGGGGACAGGGCCAAGGGGGCCTGTCTGTGCCAGTTCCTTTCTGTTTTGCACGTTGGGTTTTTGGATAAGTGACATTTTGACTTGTTTGTGCATCACGTGGAAAAAAATACTGAAATAAAGGTGCTTTGTGTACTAGCAGTAGGATAGAAGGGGGAGATGTGGACCAGGCTAGGGTGGGGCTCAGCTGGGTTGGAGGACAGAGGTCCCCATTCAGGCATTGTATTTACTGTGCAAGGGAAGAAGTTCAGCCAAGAATTACCCAAGGGTAGACAAACCTCCTTTATCTCTGTTGTCTCATAGGACAATGTTGCTAATAGTTGTGAGCTTCTGCCCCTTATTATCCATATTCTCAACTGAAAGCTCTTGAGGGGACTGTATAGAAGATGACCAAGCTCAAATGGTATCTCTTTTTTCTGTACCCCATCAAGTAAAAATGAGTGTTTGGCACACTCTTTATAGGAGAAAGAGCTGTCCTCCTGGCTCCTGTAGGAGAATATAGTCTACGGTTATAGTGGGAGGAGGATGGTAGCTCTTGCTCTTCCCATTGACTTGTATCAGACAGCAACTGTCTTCATGGCTCATTCTTTGTAGCTTTTTTTCTTTTAAAGTACTGGAATATCTTGAAGCTTTTCTATTCCCAATTCCTTAGACGTCTCTGTCCAAGGAGAGGCTTGTCCTGTCCAACTGTATCAGCCTCTTGATCATAATCCTAGCCCCTACTGCCTGGAGATAGGGTGAAAGAGCAGCAGAACCTAGTTGTCCTGTCCCTTTAGTGCCTCTTCTCATCTTGCAAAAGAGGAGCTAACAGAGCAGAAGTTGATTCCCATCAGTACTGGCAACAGAAAGGGATTGGTGTGGGTTGGCTGAACCAGCTTCTCCATCTACTCATACCAGCCACCTTCTTTACTCTGAACTTGGGGATAAAGGATTCCTTTAATACTCAGTGAGACAGAGTATTTTTGCCTCTCCATGCTGAGGGATGGAGGGTTTTCCTATGTGAGCTATTCACTGGCCTATCAAGCCATAGGATATCTTGAGCGAAGCATGTGTGCTCTGAAACCTTCCTCCAATCCTTTCCCAACCTGATGGTGCTAACCTGCCCACCTGGCTGACTGTTGGGGCTCATGAAGCCTCCGTTTCCCCACCCTCGGCCCATTAATGCCTCCCTCTGAAATAGCGTGAAATGTGAACTGTTCCTTGTGCACTTTTCCCTCAATAGTTGGTACCCATAGGTATATGAAGCTGGGTGGCCAAGCGTGACGGAGTCCTCAGCTCCCAGGACCGCAATGGAGGACTCGGCTTGTGAAGGCAGCCAGCCCTGCCCTGTTACATGTTGGAATACAGAACATTACTGACAAAATCGTGGACGTCACGTATACAAAGGAGTAATTTCTAACAAGAGTACTATGTTTCGAAAACCCAGACATGAAGTCTTGGTCAGAAAACCGTAACGTCCCTTCCTCTTCTACTTGGAGTTGTACCTTTGGTACGTGGACTAAAAATCATGAACATCAACTCTTCTCGGAGTTTTTTCTTTTTTTATGTTTAATGATTACATAAATGGTTCACCATTGTCTTCTACCAGAATGTTCTTCCCAAGGTAGCCTATAGTCCCTGGATTTCCGTCTTGTGGTCTCCCATCCAAGTAATCAGGTCTGAACTTCCTTAGCTCTTGAGGATGAATTGGTAAGTACTGCAAGCTCTGGTGCTTTAATATTGATGTAGCTTAAACATTATATAATTACCAAAGCATCAGCTATAGCAACCTGCTAAATCTTGAAGTTGTTTAAAACTGTCTTCATTTCATGCCAAAACAACCAAAACAGGTACTTTTTCTAAGAACGACAGATCACCACTAACACAGTACCACAATCTAGACCACTTTCTGTAGACTTGTGCGTTTCAAGCAGTAGTGAATCAAGAGGAAAACTTATTCATAATAATTTAAAATTGGGCGGACACATATGGTAAATGGTAATATTTCAAATAATATGTCATGCCATTTAGAATTTTATAAATATATTTGCATTTTACTTTCTGTTGTTCTCTCATATCCTTATAGAGGCAGATCTTTGGCCAGCCTGAAAGCTCTCTGTCACTCTAGTATGGTCAATTTCTCAGCTTCTCCAATTAAATCCTGAATATCTTATCTATACTAGATCTGGGAAATAATTCTTAAACCAGATTCTCTACACATCCATACTCTAACACTGATTTACAATCTCATGTAGACATTTGCTCCAGCCCTCTGCCCAAGCCATATCTTCATGTGGAAAATTCCTTAGGATGTGAAGACTTTGTGACCGCTTGATTCATAATTGTCAATTCCCAAGCTGGACAATGTATTCCTTGACTGCTTGTCATTTTTGAAGGGTTTCCCTCTCAGAAAATAACTAAGTTCCCATCTGGGGTTGCCATGTAGTGATGGTCTTGGAAGGGGACTAGGACACCCCCCCCCCAGGTAAATAGTAAGTTGAAAATTCATGGTGGGTTTGCAACTAATCCTCGGTCCTCTCAAAGAGAAGAGACGAGGAGGAAAGTCTGTAGCAAGGCACATTACAAGTTTCTGCCTCAATGCGGCCTCAGGAAAAAGTCTCCATATCTTACAACAGTGCTTTTCATAGTCTCATGGAGCCCCGGACATTTGGGAACAAAGAATTGCATTCTACACATTGAACCAAACTGTGCAGGTGTCTTTGAAATGAAGTGATTTGAAGCAGAGAGCAGAAGCTGACCATCTTTTTATTCAGAAATACATTTCACCCCCCCCACACACACACACACACAGACAAGCATATGTACTGCAGCTTATATTGTAGAAAGATTGCTGCTCTTTTCACTGGCTCTGCTTTGGTCTGATGAATTCAAGAGAACATCTTTTTCTCTGGTTCATTTTCTAGAGAGAAAACACAGCATTTATTTATTTATTTATTTATTTATTATTTAAATTTATATACCGCCCTATCTCCCTTACGGGACTCAGGGCGGTGAACAGGCAATAATAAAAATCACAATAAATATTGAATAAAAAGCCTGCTCTAAAATACCCCATATAAAACCCCTAGCAAAGCCCAATCAAAACTATGCCAGGTCGGCCGCATGGAATAGATGGGTTTTCAAGGCTCGGCGGAAGAGGCGCAGGTCCGTAGTTGTACGTAGGTCGGGGGGGTAGGTCATTCCAGAGGGCAGGAGCTGCCACAGAGAAGGCTCTCCCCCTGGGGGTCGCCAGCCACGTAACTGACCGGCTGCCGTGGGATTCCTCCGGGAGAGACACCCTCGCCTGACCAGCTTCCCTCCATAAACCATCCTCCGCCAGAACGTTTATGGATCCAGGTAACGGTACCTCGCGAAATTTTCAACAATGATTGTGGAACTTCGCGTGGGCCTTCCGGTGGCCGTCGGTCACGTCGAGCACGTCCTCTCCACAATGTTGGGAGTATCTAGAGGCCCCCAAAATCCCCCGCGCGGCCGCATTCTGAACTAGCTGGAGCCTCCAGGTGCACCTCAAGGGGAGCCCCATGTAGAGAGCGTTGCAATAGTCCAGGTGGGAAACAACGAGGGCTTGAGTGACCGTGCGTAGGGCGTCCCAATCCAGAAAGGGGCGCAACTGGCGTATCAGGCGAGCCTGATGAAAAGCCCCCCTGGCCATGGCCGTCACATGATCGTCTAAAGACAGCTGAGCATCCAGGAGGACGCCCTGGATATATAGCTCTGTTCATCCTTCTGTCTTTCCTCCCCTTAGAAGACCATGCATAAACAGTCTCCTTCGATGATATGAACTCTTTGAAGGAATGGGAGACCTCTGTGGAAAAATGAGGCAGCAGCTGTATGCTTTCTCAAGGCATACTCTTAAAATATGATTGGAATAGCATAATTAAGAGGGAGTGTGGCTTGTTCTGAAACACAGCTACAAAAGAAAACATGTATGCAAGAGACATTAAAAAGTCCTCTAAGCAGATCCAAAAAAGTGTAGCTAAACTATTCATTAATAGTTGGAAGCTGGAGTCTTGTTTCCGTGACGAGAATACCTTTGAGTTCATCAGGGGATAACAGTGTCAGTCCTATGAGTACTGCCTCTTTGGGATTGAAAGACATGAAATTTCATTCACTTTCTTTTCCTTTTCCTTAGGTTTAAGTTTCATTGGTTCTGCTATTATGATGAAATATTCTGGAGTCCCAAGGACAGACCAAGGCAGTAAAACTCTCTGAACTATGTTCTGCTATACTAAGCATAAGATCTCTATACAACCCCTCCAATTTTAAATGTCCTGATTTCCCCACCATAAAATGACAATATGGCTGTAGTTCACACACAATATTTAATCTAGATTACTGAAATAATCCATTTGCTGAGAGCATGCAATACAGTAAACCATAATCTAATCAAATAATAGATTTACACACTAAGACACAGACACAAATGCCAAAGTTAATACTAACCAAATTTTGCATATTTTTATTAAATGTATATCCTGCCTATCTCACCATCAACATACAGTGTGAATGTGGCGACCGTTTTATATGTTGAGATTTTATACTATGCAAAGATGGAAAATTCAAAGAAACATAAAGAGGACTCTTTCTGCCCTTTCTTTCTATGTAGTCAGCTAAGCAACTGGGTAAATGCTCAACACAGGTGTTTTCAGTTTCCCATAAGGCTCCTGATTTAC